CAGCCGTTACTGTATTAGCAATCAGGATGCGGGGATAAGAAGAGCGGGACCATCTCAGGAGGGAACGCCCGGGCCAGATGACGGGATATCGTCTTGTTAATAGAGGAAAGTAATGATGTCCCCGTAGCATATAGCGGATGTGAAAGTGTGGAGTACAGAGTAGGAGAAGTAAAGTAATATTGTTGAAAGTGAGGCACGATTCCTTACCTCCCAGAAGTCAACGCCAGGCCATGAATCACTCAACTTCTCTGCTTAAGATGATACGTGTCAGGAATACCACCAGTCACGACAGACGGGCCCTGAATATTCAAGCATCATTTCCCTCATCTGAAGCCGATGGCTAGCTGTAAAATTGGCTCCTTCAGCAAGTTATACCTAGAAAATTCGATCTCTCTTAATCGTCATTTCATGCTCACTTCGGTGTAAATAGCTGCTCATTACTAGAGGTTAATATTTATAGTCTTACCTGATTTAAAAAGACTGTTTGCTATGGAGTAGGTCTCTGTTAAAAACAAAGCTGGATACTATCCTACAGGCTGTTCAGTCTTATATTCTCAATTATCCCTACTAACTTTGGTACTAAGCCAAGTAGGTTCTTTTCAGCGTCTTAGTTGGCGGATGCCAAAGCATATAGTGGGTTGAAGCCTTTAGGCGAGGACACTGGAGCCTGATTAAATGCCTAGAAATAGCGTTGCTCCTATATTTCGTATGCTTTCTTTCTTTGCCACTTTTTGGTAACAGTTTGGAAGCTCGCCGAGCTCAGAGTGAATTGAGCTACGGTAACTTTCAGCCCTTACTGATATTAGTCCGGGCGGCGTCGCGCCTTCGAGGAGTAGTGGGGGGGCAATACGTTTGAATCCATATTCAAGTACACGCTCTCTAATTAGCCCAATTGTGAGTGTGTGTTACTAGTGTAGTAATGTCTTGATAAGGAGTAATGTCTGCTTAATTAAGCCAGATTTATACTCAATGAAGCTAGGACACTGTCCACGAGAACTACATCACCCGAACTACCAGTAGAACCTCAGTCTGGATTCAGACTTATTGCATCTCACTGTAATACTTCATTAGCTAACAGTTTTCCTGCTTACGCCATCATAGCAAATGTCGGGGAGAACATTAGCCTGTACGTGATAATTGGAATCGAAATAGTTCGTTTCGCAATAAGTAACCGCCTCGTGTCGGATGGTCAGAGAGGGCTGGAATTAGATTTCGTCTCCTCCAAGTGCTTCAGAGCCAAGCTGCTTCTTCATGTTTTGCATGAAAGTGTTGTATTCATCATCATGAGCCCGCCCCTTCATTCGCGATTTCTAGGTCGAGGCAAAGAAGAGAAGATAATGAACACCGCACCAAGATATGATTAGTCAGTCGATTGTCAATGTTATGCGGCTATGTATGCGGAGCTATTTAATGACGAAACTAATCATATTAAAGAAGGATAAAGAAACTCTTCAAGCTCGCCGCTACTTCCGATTTCATTGCTTTATATTATGTACATAGTTTAATCTTCGGAGCATCCTTTTTCCATGCAGTGTCAAACTATCACAAGATTCGCTGCCTCTTCTGATGTAATAAAGTCCTCCTTATCTACCCAGGCTGGATGGGGTAGTGGCTTGATCCCAGCCGCTGCTAGGAGCTTTCTCGTGTCGACCAGCATCTGTTGAAGAAAGTCGGGAACGCCGAAATTCAAAACGTAGGATAAGGATAGTATGAAGAATATCCATCCCATGCACCAAAGCGCACTTAAGAAGATAGACATGGCACGGCAGTGCTTGGCGAGGCTCATGGATCCGTCCTCTTCAAGTAAGATCGACCAGTCCCAAGCAGTGAAAGCCACGTGTATGGACATAATCGTGAGAGCCACGGCAAGCAGGCCAACAGAGCAGACGACAAGTCCGCTCACGAAAAATGGCAGCTCTTTCCTGATGCTGTAAAAGGGCAAGATACCCCACAGGACGACAAGAAAGAAGATTGTGTTGAGTACGAAGCACAGAAGGGCCTCTTGAGAGCCAGG